AATTGAAAAATTTAGGATTTCCCCATTAAATATTGAGTTTCTTTTGCAAGAAATGTTCACAGAGTCAGTTCTAATCTCATTAGAAGATCTAAATGCGTTTTCCAACTAAATTTCCTGGGACATTTTGGATCGTGTCCAAACGCTTCAATTTCAGACTCATCTGTCCAAAGACAATCACTTCAGGAGTCCGGCTCTTTGTCCATGTTCTCTCTGCAAATAATTAAATGTCACTCTGAAATTATTATTATTTCTTTTTCTCAGCAAGCAAAAGGTTTCCCACTTGTATACCCCTCAGCAAAGTTAAATTTGTCCATTTCCTTTCAAATTATACAGGCATTCACTTCCTGTCATCAGTCCAAAGAGCCAATTGTTGGTTCTGAAATGACATTTTGGGGTTCGTGGAGACTTCTTCTTTTGCTATCTTGTTTGCTTTCGGGGTCAACTTACTTAGACAGCCACACCCGGACACCTTGGTTGTTTGGATCTCTGACTTGTTTTAGTTCTTAAGCTGCTACGGTCGTCTTTACAAAGGCCTCACGCTGTTCTTTTGATCGTGTGACAACATAAACTTAACATCAAGATTCGATATGCAAAGGGGATGAACAAGAAGAAGCTGCAATATAAACTCCAGCTGGAATGTACTAGTTCAGGGAAGAAAAATGAGCAGAATAAAAATCAGGCATATGGAAGTCCGAACAGACCCAGTGAACGTTGAACGGGTTCACTTCAGGAATCAGCTCTGCATCCTCCTCTCTTGCTTTCAGCTGACGGACGTCCCATCCAGTCGACACCAGGCCTGTCGCAATGACATATTTTACTGGGCAATGAATTGTGGCGGAAGTTATCGCGATGAACAATAATATTGTCGCTTTGAGACTATTTTCAAGCAATATAACGGTAAAGGAGTAATGATATATTGAATTTTAGTTTAAAAAAACTGGAACTCTAAGTATCCAAACAACAGAAAAAAAAACATATTAAAAGAATTACAAAGTCTTTGTAAACCAAATTGACAGCTAAGACCAAAACACCAGATTGAAGTCTTTTATCATCGAGGTTTGGTTAGAAAGAGAAAATTGTGCAAATAAAAATGGCCGAACTTGTTTTAGTTTGTCACGTTTATGCACGTTTCTAACTCCAGCCTGAACAAGGTGAAGGTTTGTGCGCTATGGAAGACAATACTGTCTTGTTTCACTGAGAAAGCTCACCCGCCACCAAATGAACTGTTTCCCCAACATCCTATAAATAAGGTTCTGGAGACGCTTGTTGATGCACATGGAACCATGATGCAACTCAAACTCACTGGTTATATAATTTTCCGAGTGAATTCAACACAATTCTGCCAAATTTACCACACTGGAAAGTCCACAAGACAAGCGAAGGCCTAAACAATCGCCTGGATCGACGCCTGGCTAACAAACAAACCACAGTTTGTGAGACTGGATCGTCGAATGTCTGACCAGCTGGACTGTGCTCTTGTCCATTTCTTTTCACTCTGTGTTCCTCAGACGTCCAGTACAAGCCAGAGGTCTTTCATCCACACAAACACGTGGACGGCTCCACGTTTGTTGCATCAGAGATTGGCAAAGAGGACTGGCAGACCACTTTGTGGAGTAGTGTGGGGGGGAAACGTCATCTTGAATGTGGAAAGAAACAAAGGAGGACTGTCGATCTCAAGAGAAGCAGGAATAGGTGGGAGGCGAAGGTGACAAAGGGGCATAGATACACCAAGACAACAGTCCAGGACGGGAACAACTACAAGAAGGAGCAAAACAAAGTGTATGTGTCAGGAAAGCCTCGGTCGTTTAGGCTTTAAAGCAAGATGTTGTTGAGTCTGTTGAGTGAAATTTAATCTGCCATTGTGTTTAGGGTAATAGCATCACAGTCAGTGACTTAAAAAGCTGAACAAGCTGATGAGGAAAGCTGGGTCTGTTGTCGTAGAAGAGCATCTTCTTTGAATCACTTTCGTACAAAAACACTCCCATTACCTTCTACGAAGATTCTCTAAAGAAACATGAAGTAGTTTTAGTTAGTATGACAACAGTATGAACAAAGTAATTGCATGCTGGTGTTTTTACCACTTTATTTGAATTTATGTGTGACGGTTTCACAGCTCAATACCTCCATATAACCTACTTTGTATCAAACTTCATGCACAACTAGAACAGGATGTGTGAGTGTACACATACCAAGAAACTAGCTGGTTTAAAACGAACATCATTGGGCGTGGTTGGTGAGGATCAAGAGTGGAGAGATCGGAAATCTAAAAGGTGTTCAGAAATCAGTCAAAACAAGAAGGGGCGGTTAAGGGACTTGGGGGAAGCGTCAGATATTAGCGAGCACGATGAGCGCTCGACATATCTGGATCGAGGTCACTTTGTGGGTTTGTGTCATTTTGTTTGAGGTCTTGTGGTCAAGCGGTGGTGTCAAATGTCAGTCATGATTTCTGAATGTCTCTGAATACTCCGTCGGTCAATACAAGTCATTCACAGGGTTTCAACAAGTGCTGTTCAGTCCTTTGCTCAGAGGTGAGTCTCATTGACAAACCAGAAGCTTGTGGTTTCCACTCCTGTGAAAACCACCGTTTGGGGAGTTACAATATTCTGACTTGTGATCTGTCTGTGTCAAAAAATATAAAACTGAAAAGGAAGAAAGATTTTCCTACTATATATTTCCTAAATGTACAGTATATATATTTTGTTTTTTATTTACATCTAAAAGTCACTTCTAGTGTGTTTTCTTCTTATCATGTGACTTGTGTGATTTGCTTTGAATTCTGTTTGATAAGAACCTTTGAAAGGAAGAAACCAAGCATGCGCATGTGCACGGCTGCAGAAGCTCCTAACAAACTGGAGAGGCGTGTACAGATGGCCAAATTTATGCCACACAGGTCGGCGGCAGTGCAGAGAAAACCTGATGCGTCTATGATGCAGTGACCGTGTCCAGTGACCTTTGCTCACAATTCAGACGGACTGCCAGGCCGCCCAGTTCATAACGTTGCCACTTATTGCATTCGGTGGTCGTTCCAGATCGCCAGATCCTTGCAAATTCAATCACCGACTCCTTTTCGCTCGTCTGCATGCGTACCAAACAACGGCGACTTTAAGCCGTAGCACAACAACGTGACCGAATTTGCGACATGACAGTGACAATACAGCGAGCCAGTTCAGCCAGGGATTATGTTTTTAGATGTTCAGTAAGTAAATATATTTTACTAAATTCAGATAAGAGGTAGAATTCAATCTTTCTACTCCTTTTCAAACAGAAAAGTAGCAGTAAAAAATATATATTTTGTTCTTGGTTATGTATGCACATGTTCTCTTTTCTACTGATTGCTTCTTCTATTGTTTTTTTAATATACTTGAAATTAATAAATACAATGTTCTCCTTAATAAATGTCCAACGGGTTCATAGACGTCAAGGCTAAATTTGATAAGTATGTGGTTTAAAAGTGGATAATTTTCATATTAAAAGGTTAAATGTCCTATGACTGCATCCAAGTGGTCAGATAATAGCTGAATTAACACGAAAGTAAGTCAGTTTCAAGCATACAGCATACTGAGGTGAGCACAGGACAGACTCATTCATATTCTGCCTTTGTTGCAATAGTAGTTTAATCAATTTTGCACTAGAGGCATACATTCATATGCTTGTATGCCTCTACTGCAAACAAAAATTGCATGTTGTACATGTCCTAGAAATGTGTTGCAGTTGTCTTTAATGGTTAAATTATGCTCACCACAATGTCATCTGCAAAGCATGAAATCCCTTCCTCCCAAAACTAATGAACCAAAAGGCAGATGCACCACGTTGGAATGGAAGTAAAATTATTTTTTTGGCGTTTTTAACAAAGAAAATAAAAATACATGAAAAATAAAGAACTCAAACTCCCTGACTACCTGACCTTTGAGTGAAGATTAGAAAGCAACGCGATTCGAATGCTTCCTCCACTTAAAGCATGCATGATTTAAAAGATGGACTCGTGGTTCAGCAAACACCACAGGCCAAAAGAGGGAAGCCAAATGGCAAAGCAACAGCTAAGGTGGAGCTTGTTGGCTGGGAAAAAAAAAACATAAAAGCAGAATTTTCTCTGTTTCAGAGAAGCAAAGAGAGAGAGAGAAAATAAATTTACAGCCCACTAACAGGCACTGAGAGGAAGACAGCGGCCCATCTGCCTCTGATCACAGCCCATAGAGAGGCAACACTTATGCCGCTCTGGTGTGGGGTTCGGCGTAAGCTCCTTTGTACCCGGAATGAATAAGAAGATTCTTCAAAATGGGTTGAGAACCCAGAGATAAGTTAAAGGCTTAATGACAAAACGTGTAACCATGGCATTCATCTGAGCGGGGCTCCTTAACTCTTCCGCTGCTTGTTGCTACAGGAGTACTCGAGATAAGCATTGTGCCAATGCTCTCAGTGGATCTGCCCTGCTTCTACCTCTGAAAATAGCACTATAAGGAGGTCTTCTTGAAATAGTCTCGCATCACATCCTGGCACCTCACTTCCACGTACCGCAGGGCCCGCACATGCCGCACATGCCGCACCGGCGTTCGGAGCCCAGATGAGGTTCAAATGATGGACGGCACCGGCAGGCGTAATGATGTTTAAATTACAAACGGGTCACTATCGCAATGTTTTCTCCCTCGGGGCTGTCGGAGCGAACTCATTTCATAAACACAATGATCCCTAAAATATTCATAACAAACAAGAAAATGGGGTCAGACGCCCTCCTCCTTCTCATCTATCACATTTTTCTTTTAAGCACATTTATTACGCCCACTAATGACTTATAGGATCACGGCGTCACAACGACGCCTATAAGGGTTTGGTCTTTCGCCCGTGCTCCGACAAATTGGAGGTTTCGTACAACAAAGGCAGGAATTATAATGGTATGCAGCCGAGACAATTTGTATCGAGGCTGATAGTGCACTGAGGACAATGATAAAGTACTGTAATAAAATTCAAACAAAAGCCAGTGAGACAGAGGAGAGGAGACTTACAGCTCGGAGAGTTGGAGGTGCTGGAAGAGCTGCCATTTCAGGGTGGTTAGCGGGTTCTTCGACAGGTTTCTGTGGGGGGAAATAAAAAGTACAAGAGAGCCATGAGTTTAATTGTATTCATAATTACCCATATGTCGACTTGTTTGCTGAACCTTTTTCTTGCATGAAAATCTGATGTATTTTTGGGGTTTGAAAATGTCCCTTAGAGGCTTAAGGGGAAATCCGGTCGGATTATCTAAATTTACAGTCTAAACAAGACGCTAAAAGGAGAAAGGAGAAGAAGAACGTGAATATGCAATTAAAAAAGGTGGCAGATTTAACACATGTGCAATTCTCTTCCAAGCCGCCGTAGTATTTTCTTTTCTGTGAACTTTTGGGAAATCTTTTGTTTAGTGATCAGCCTGTCGGTGTTTTTGCTCTGAATCTCCATCTGTACCTCGCTCTCTATCTTGTACATTTTATACTTAAGTGCTGATTTCCTTTCCTCTGTCTTTCACATTCAGGGAAAAAAAAAGTGCTTCCTCTTTAATATTGTTTCCAGGGTCATGTCTGTGTACTCATGGTGTGAAGTGGGTTGTTATAAGCAGATGATTAGTTAGAGGACTGTCGATTATGGAAACTATGTTTGCACACGTGCGTGCAAATCCACAATGATTCGTTTTTGTCATAAGAAATACATACATGTACTCATGTTCACACTAATCGCTTTCAAGGTCCTTTATTCTACGTGAAGAATACGCCTGCATACTGCTCCATTTATCCATCTTTATGTGTCTCGTTATTAAACCATCAGAGCATTGAGTCTTCATAACGATGCGTTTAGCTCCACACATTTGTTAGTGTTTTGTATTTTATGTTTAAATCAGGCTGGAAAACTTTGCAGGTGGACGAAACCAGGTGTTTATGCTTGCTTGATCCATTCACCATAGTGAAACATTCTTTTTTTCAGTTTTATCTCTTTAAATGTCCCATTTAAAATCTATCTTCTGAATTTATACACTGATCTCTCTCACACACACACAATGTTGAACATCCAACATTTCATTTGAGTCCCGGTTCCAAAAGGAAGTCGGACCTAGAACATTTTTTTTTCCATCTCCTGAAACAAACATGAAAAACATTGTTGAACCTTCCATTTATTAAAAAAAAAAAAACATTAGTTCCTTGAAACTTCATGAGTAATAGAAATAATGAACCAAAATGCTCAGAATCCGAGCGCACCGGGGGTGGAAACGTAGGTTCGTCTCGGTGGAGCTTCAGGGCCAATAGCAACTCAATCGAGGAAAGTCGACTGCTTTCCAGTCAAATATGTCAATTGACATAAAAACCCCCTTTGGCTCAAGAAACCAGAGATCTATAGCAAACGTCCTCAAAAGGGATTTGACCGAAACCTCGAATAAGACGTCCCTAAATACATTAAAGCATCTCTGTGATGGCATGAAATGATAAAACAAGTGGCTTATATTGAACACTGTGTGCAGTGTTTGGTGAAAAAAAGAAGAAAAAGGAGTGACATTAGTTATTGTATGGTTATATATTTATGTTACATGTTTGCTATAATCTGGCCTTGTCGATAGCTCAGCTCCTTCCAGGCAAAATTATTAAGAGTGAGATAAATGGAAGAACTCTGGTATGTTGTGTCTGACGGTACAGGAGCCGCATCAAAACGGAGGGTTCTCATCTGAGAAAATTCCAAATCAGCAAAATAAAGTCAATGAATGGCGAAATTAACCACTTACGTTTAATCCTTAATCGGTTTCCACGTGTACCTAAATGTGTTATCTTCTACATCCAAAGTCCATTTAGGTTAATTCGTGTGGGAGACCTATTAGTCTCTCTTATAACCAGACACGTTGCCATAGCAACAGGGAGTTCAGGCCGTTGCAGGTCTGCCTCAGTTAGTCCATCACGCACGCAATCACGCATGTGCAAGAAAACAAACGTGCAACGCACATCCCAACAGATGCACATCGGTGTGTTTGTTTACCCACGCGTTCGCATGCGTCCGTGTGTGTGTGTGTCTCGAAATAGATGCTGCCTAACAGGAAGTGGGTGAGAGAGATGTGTAAAGACGATGCATGAAATTTCACCTTGCAAAGAAAGCCGGCGGTCTCCAAGGGGCCGTGTGTTATCCTCGGAGAATACATTACAGGACAGAGAGAGAGAGAGAGAGGAAGAGCTGGGGCAAGTGGGAAAGTGGGCGAGCTAGTTAGCTGATGGAGAGCGGGGGCCACTCAACGCTCACACACCCCGAAATAGAGGCTGAGTCAGACCAGACGTCTTTAAATAGGCGCGCGAGTATACAACACGATGGGCCACATAGTACACTCTGACGTGTGTATACAACACTTTATATACCGATACTTTATATACTACACTTCGATGTGTGTATGTCAAACTCCAACGTGTATATATTACACTCCGTGTATATACTACACTCCAATGTGTATATACTATCCTCTAACGTGTATATACTACACTCCGATGTGTGTATACTACACTTCAACGTGTGTCCTACACTCCGACGTGTATATACAACACTTTGACGTGTGTATACTACACTCCGATGTGTGTGTACTACACGTGCAGTATATTCGTGTGTGTAGCTGTTTTAATTACAGCTGCTCCTGTTAGGGGATGACGACGACAACATCTACTATTTATTTATAGATTCTGACCGTCGATGAGTCCATTTCCACCTTTGCCAACCAGAGGCAGCTGCTCATCACGGGCAGAGGATTCAGCCCAAAAGCAGGTAAGAGGATATTTTTGATAGCGTTCTAAGTCTTTGCCGATGGATCTCGATGGCGAAGTATTATCAATAAAAGCAGCGCAATTATGCCGTCCGTCAGCACCGATTTAAGAATGTATCCAGCTATATTCTGTCAAGTTTAATTATACAACAAGTAGCCGTCAATATTTGGTCCGTAATTATAAAGTGCCACTGCTCACAGCTGATGCTTAAGATGGTGTAGGCCATCGAAGACTGGAAGGAAATGTACAGTGTGGGCATCAGAAGACATTTACAGGAACATTTTTTTTTTATGCCAGCTTGCAATTACAGGCACAGGCTCATATAATTAGAATGCTGCGCAATCGTGCAACGTTTTGTGACAGTCGTTTGAGAAAGCTGGAACTCATTTCATGTAGAAACATCAGATATGTAGTGAGGCATTCCAAGGCTTCACACTTCAAAACCACAATACCTTACTAAGAATTTTTGGTCTAGTTTTCAGTGCAAATGCTTTTATAACATTTGAAACAAGAAAAGCAACTCACAAGTAACTCCTCAGCAGGAAATAGGAGTTTGTTTTTAGTCAAAGATTCCTTATTATTGATGAAAAAGTACTAGATCCACTGGCAAATTGTTTCACTAATAACATGGAAGAAATGCATTGCTTGAATAATCTGCCTGTAGAACTAGCACTTCTTTTTTTATCAACATTAAGGAATTACTGACTTAAAACAAGGGCTGAAAAGTTACTTTTTTTTGTCTTCTTTCAGGTGTACGGAGGCGTTTGCACAACAAACTACACCAATGATGCCTGGTAAGACTTTGTGTTTTTGCAGTGTACATCTTATCATTTTGACGTTTCTGACTCACAGATGACAAAAACCCAAAACCTGGTGTCTCCGAATATCAGAATACAGTGAAAAATGAAAACTCCTGGTCAGCTACTGAACTACATTCACCTGCAAAGGTTTCCCAAGCCTTAAAACGGTCTCTCATTGTGTGGCATGCACTCAGGGTCAGTAGCCCACACAATGATTGGGAAGACTGCCGACAGGACAGACGTCCAGAAGACGGTCATCTTCCACCGTCACACGGAGGGTAAGACACAAAAGGTCATTGCAAAAGAAGCTGGTTGTTCACTCGGTTCTGCATCCAAGTATATTACCAAAAAACTGAATTGAAGGAAGAAGTGTGGTGGAAAATGGTGCAACAGAGAATAGTCAATGAAAACCTATTTCAGAAGTACCACCGCACAGATGAATCCTGCATTACGAATCAAGATGCTCTTAATCTGACGAGCAAACGTCATCGGAAACAAATGTTCAAAGGTATTGAATATTTAATGGCTTAAAATTGTAGTTTTTGTCTAAAGTTTGGATATTTGCATATTGATTGAACAAACTAAAGGGAAAGTTAGAACATTAGGGCAAACAATCTAAGGGACCGAGAATAGTGAGGACTAAAAAAGAGACTCCTCTCTATCGTCTGTTGGTCTATGTATTTCACACGGTTACTGTAAGGTTATAAAAAATGGAAATCCACTTCTCCACACTATCTTCCACGTAGTCACATGTTCTGACACAGGTAAAGAATAAAAAAGGAATGTGTAAACAAACAAAGAAAAAAATACTATAAAAGCAAGTGCAACATTAAATATCTCAACACTGAACTTCACGGCTGCACATTTTATTTTTAACCCAAATTGACAAGTCAAGAGTTTCAAACTGCTCAGCATATTTCAGAGACTTTAGAGAGTCCAGAGCCGTAATAGGTAGATACGTGTTAATAAAGCTGTGAATAATGCCAATGAAGAGCAGATGGACAACCACGGCGCCCAATCAGCCCTTACTCCATAGTGTTAGCACAGACTCTGTTTGTCCAGCTAGCTGGCCTGGAGCTAGAAACGAGAAGCCAGATACAACATCATAATTAGTGAGCTTTAGTGGCTCTGGTAGCAGATTTAGTTCTGTTGATACACAACACAGCTATCTGTTTTCAGTGTTCCCCTTTCTGTCCACTAAATTAAGGTAACCAGCACTTGGAAGTCCACAAGACTCCCCTTGAACAAAGTCCAACAAGGCCCTAATGTCCATTCAAGTTGGACAGTAGAGTTATCTCACATCTTGCCGCTTCGAGCTTCATCACCTTCATTAAAGATGCTGCTGGATATTTACAGAAAGTAAGACGACACATAACCTCCGCTTTCTTACTGTCTGACATGGAGGCCGAAGTGAACAGAATTTCTTGCTAAACTCCCAGAAATTGTACAGTATTTTCATTCAAACGAACATCTAAATCCAGAACAAAAGCAAAACGGCCCAATGAGAACGCTGGC